TGACAGATCTACATTAAGCACATAGTCTTCTCTCCTCTCCTCTTCCATGACACCAGGGCAAATTCTTCTTCTTTTTTTTTAACGTTTGGTCCTCGGGCATTGCTGGGAAGCTGCATCCCGTGGGGTTGGACGCCGCGAGTCTCCTCTCACACCAAAACCAGAGAGAAATGTGGAGTGTTTCTGGCTGGCGAAAAATCGACCATGTGGGTGTGAGCCAAAGATAGTGCCACATCAACAAACGCCGTGGGCACATCCCTGTGTGCCTCGAGTTTTGATGCAAATACAACCTTTAACATGCACACATGGAGATGTTACATGTTTATTAGTTAGTGATGCCTTAAGTGTTTTCTTCATCATGAAAGAAGAATATCCCGATGGCAATCAGGAGATTACCCGAACTAATGAAGTTCTCTTGCACAGATTTAATATGCAAAGTACAAGATGGCATGAAGCCAAGACAACTAAGATATACTCGCTACACACACATGGCCAAGGTTAATATAGTCCATTCACACAACCACCCATCCATGCCGCACACATAAGCATTTGGACTGTACAGCGGCCTGCATCATCACGGTTCTGTCACGACATACACATTTCTGCTTTCTGCTTTCTCTGTGGCACATTCCCCAGAGTTCGACGCCCTGATGTTCCGATTTTTTTGAAGAGTCAACAAGGGACGTGATGGGCAGGAATTGCTTTGTGTGAATGTTGAATGTGCTGGAGTGTAAATAGAATCCCTCATTCTCCGGCTCGTAGGACTGACCCCTACCATCAGACACTGAGGGTTCATGTCAGACTGACAGCAGATAATAACTCCTGGTTATGATGAGGTCCATGGAAAAGGTTGCCGTCCCACACAGCATGTTGTATTCTAAACTAGGCTTCCCCCTTGGTACAGTTGAAAATGAAAATTGGAAAAAAAAAAAAAAAATCAGTGTTTTTGTTGTGACTGAAGAAAGAAATGTATAAATGCCTCAGCAAAGAGATCCGTCGAGGTAACACCATTTCAGATGATGGAATAAAATACTTTACCGACTAGATTAACTCATGAAATATGCATGAAAAAGCGACATTGTGTTCATAACCTCGGTCTTCCAACCGACCGGCATTGGCTGACTATCAGGTAGAGGCTCAGAAATGTACCTCAACGTGCCACGATGTTCGCATCGTGACACCTTGATTGAAATGGTGAGTGCGGGGAGGAGGAAATGCCGCGCCAGGGCAGAGAGCGGGCGCCAAAACATGGGACGCATGGCCGCCAGCTGCTGATGAACGAGGAGTGACAGGCGCTGATGGAGCCTCGCCATTGGAAAAACACACCCAGCTGTTATTTCTGAAGGAGCGCGTCTGCTTATTACGGCGATATCCAGCAGGAATAGCTCGCCATCGCAACCATCCAGCATGGCGGGGCGGCTTTCTGCCGATAGGTGAAAACACGTTTTTTTTTTTTCTTCTGCCGTTGCGATTGAGTTTAATTTGAAAGACAAGGGGAAAACGGCACGTAGAATTCGGTTGGAGCTCGCCACGTTGTTTGCGTTTGTCATCACAGAGCTGTCCTTTCATTCTTTCATTCAGCGCGGCAATGCTTTTGTGTGCGCTTTAAATTGGCAATCAGCCCGTCACATTACTATTGAAACGGTGGCTGTACAGCTCTTGCGAGGAGGTCACGGCCTGTCTTGGTGGAAGAGAGTAGGCTATTGTGTTGGACTCACAGGCCATTCACTGTTTTTTCTTCTTTCTTTTTTTTTTTTTTTTTACTGCGAACAGCCGTATTCGTTGAATCCGTCTCAATGCAGCACAGACGTAGATATTTAATAAGCCTTTTTTTTTTTCACTGTTGGTTTGTTGCAACGATACCCTCAGCCTCCACAGAGCGAAGGCGGAGAGAGCGTGTCAGGACACTTGAGCGAGACAGTAAAAAGGAGACAACAAATGGGAGAGTAAACATGGGAGTCAGAGTGCATGTGGGCAGAGGGGGAGAGAATGATGGCGGCTCAGATATACCTAACGCACATCACTCAGCCTCGGCTTTCGCTGGCTGCACGGCTGTTTATTATCAACGCATCGGTTATGAGATAGCGGACAAATGTCAGCGGGGATAAACCCACGCCTTGCTTTGAAGCCTTCGGTGAGGGTGGTGCTTCACATTTCATTTCATGCACGCGTAGGAAAATGTCAAAAGTTGTTGCATGGAAATGAGCTGTTTGACTCCAATCAGCTAATAGGGTTTGCATCGGACTGCGAATCGTAGGTTCAAGTGTTTAGAGATTTGTCACCACTATTTTAGTTTTAACCATTTTAATCCGAATGTCAAGAGGTGACAGCGTTAGGACGTAAAACTACTCTAGGCAATGAGCATATGCCAACCAGTTCATCTTTGCCACCCGTAGACGGTTTATTGGGAGACGGCCCAGTTAGCGGTTAGCTGTAGCAGGTCTGATGGAGCAATTACCTGCCTATATGTTTGTAGCATTTGGCTGGATTCTAAGTAGTGCTCTTTTTTTTTTAAAAAGATCAAGAATTATGGGTCTGTTTTAGCAAATTGGGCAAATGATCCTCATCCTCAGTGTCTTGTCTTGCCTGCAGGAAACATTTGCACTCAATTTCAGAGATATGTTGTCAGCCATCACATAGCAGCCTGCACGGTAGTCTTTCCAAACCCGGCTCCTCCAGGCTTCCCTGATTTGGAAACGAAGCACACATCCTCACTCCGAGCCATGCCGTCCTGTGGAAGAAACAGCTGTTTGCATGAATCTTTAATGTACGCCCACACTGGCACGCCATTGCAGCGGATGAGAATGTGGAGGATCACCTCGGCCCTGTTTTAAGCTGTTTCAAGTCCAGATAAAAATGTTATAGGTTAGAACAACAACAACAGCTACAGACGTTCAGCCCAGCAGCGACGCAGTTACTTCATGGGGGCAAAGAAAACTGGAGAAAAATAAGTCAAAATGTAGACAAATAGGGCTGAGAAATATGGTAGAGATGTAAATTACAACATTAGTCCCAGTGTTTCCCCTACTATTGAACATCAAGTGGTCAAAGTGGTAATTCTTGCTCTTACCACAAAACTAACTTTGTGATATTGGTGAGTTTAGTATTTCAACAGAGGGCCTCGTACAGCTGCAGTCGAGATCTTCTACTTATAAAGGTGGTGGGTTTACTACACTTGAGTACCAACTAGGGGTGTAACGATTCATTTCAACAACGATTCGATTCGAATCGCGATTCATGGACGATCTGGGTTAATTTAGAACCATTCAATTCGATTCGATTCAGTGACTTGAAATCGATTCAGTAACTTTACTGGACAGTGCAGGCAACGTTTCTGAGATCCCTGTTGTTTCTTGTAAGGAAATCAGGTTTAAATTAATTATATTTAATTAAATAAATTATAATATATTGGATATAATAAACAAGCAAACAACAATTAATGGCAAATATATTAACCTTTTATTTGAATCAAGTGCCATTTTCAATGTAAACATTACAATAATTACAATGTTTGGATCAATTCACAGAACCCCGGATTTTCAACCACATTGTAGGGTCGCATGTCTTTACAGATAAACTTGTTACTGTGATGCTGAGTTTGGTGCTGGCGAGGCCTGAGGTGTCTGCAGAGCTGGAGTTACCTGCTGCTGCTGCAGCGGTGACGCTGCTAGAGGTCCTGACTGTCGGCGTTGTTTAATCCCACGGCGCCTTAGTAGATGGCCGGAAAGATTCATCGTGTTTCCGTGTTTTTTATTTGGCTTTTACATATTCTACAAACAGCGACCGACTAATTTAGAACACCTCCGTGTTGGGCGTGGAAACCAAAATGTTTCCACACGCTGGATCGATAAGTTGGTTTGTAAATGTCTCGCTCGCAGTCGTCTCCTCCACGCTGTGTTTTGTTGTTGAGTTTCACGCGGCTGCCGCTGCGTACTGATGACGTCACAGACAGGCAGACTGAATCGAGTAACGTTTAACGTGTCTAAAGTGCTAAAAAACAAACTAACAAACACACATCCACACTGTTTTTGTACTTAAATCCAATGTGCAGTTTCCAAGTATCGATACAATGGATTATGTACCATTTCAATCGATTTGTAATCGATATATGTCGTCAGGAATGCCGATTTGCGGAGCACAGATCGATTCAGTTGGATCGCAGGAATATAAATCGATTAATCGATTCAGTGGATGAATCGTTACACTCCTGGTACCAACCAATAATCAGAGGCAGGCTGAGAGAGTGCAACGCTACACCATATCGAAAAAGAGTCAGGACACACACATTCTGCTGCTGTTTGGTGGTCTTTCTTCATTTGGGAAGAAAATTCAGAGGCCCCGCTGGGTTTCCCGTCTCACCTAAAATGTAAGTATTTTATTTCCAGCACTTTCACATCATTTGTCTTTAGAGAAATGAGCTCCAAAGTAAACAGCACAAGCTGGATACGCTGCCCTGCACGGAAGAGCAATGCGGCTGTCAATACGGCTGCGGGTTTACAATTGTTGTGCTTGGCGACTGCTGTCTGTACCACACAAGTGTGAAAAGCAATAACACCACCAAAGTGCAACTGTTGGCGGTCAATATTTCCTCTCTCTGATAAACCCTCTGGGCAGGAACGTTACTCCGTCTAGCCAACACAAACACAGCTTTGCAGTTTCAATCTGTCACAGTGTGTGAATATGGAGGCAGAAAGAAAAAAAAACAACATATGTATGTATGCAACACAATACAATCCCTTTTCTTGCCACTCAGTTTCACAAAGGAATCATCCCAACAAGTTTAAGGATGCATGAAATAAAGCCCTGCTTTGTGAACTGGGTTAAAGCGACCCCCTGCTAAAGGCAAATTAGTCTCCGTGGCTGCTGCGCTGCAACTCTGATTCACTTTACCTTTTCTAATGTCACTCCTCTGCAGGAGAAAAAACAATCTGAGGCAGCCACTGTGAACTAGATACCCAGGTATAATTTAGCACAACAACACAGAAAGGACAGAGAGAGATTACCTCGTATGAGTCAGAAGTGTTTGTGGGAGGAAGTCTGACGGTTGACCTGAACGGGATACATGAACACCTCAGCTGTACCTGGGAGACAAAGAGACCAGATGGTTACTTCACAGCTGTGAGGTGTGTGCATGTGATGATTTACATCGCCACAATCGGACCGATCCACGAGCATCGATCCGCACACTGAAAAACACACCCACACACACACACACACCTGCACATTAATACAAGCAGACTGGTCAACAAGCCTGCGATGCCCAGAGGGGCAGAGGACTCTGCAGACTCTGCTGCCCATGTGGCGTACTTTTGAAGATGAATCTCCAGAGCCCCCCCCCCCCTAAGGAAAACTGCACTTTGCCAGGAGAGGGAGAGGTCCAGGAACGTTATCTCGCTGTCGCGCTCTCTCTCTCTCTCTGACACGGACTGCTGTGATGGGGGAGGCTGAAGCGGGGTAATTGGCAAGAGATGATGGGCCATAAACATACATCACAGGGGCGGCGGAGCGCCACGCAGACAGCTAACGAAGGCTCTCTTTCCCCCAGCGGGGTCCTTGTTTGATGCACGCATACGGCCATCTACCGCTGTCCTGGATATTCACGCTCTTTGAACACACTTGTATTAAGGTAGGGCCGAGCTCTACCTTAATATAACAAGAGAAGGGGAGGGGGGGGGGGTATAACTCCCGCCCCACCCTTCATTCCATCTATCACCATATAAAAACTATGTATAGTGCAAGGGGCATTTTCACCATTTCCGCGGCATCATGACCATAACCCGCGGGACGCTCTCCTCTGCCATTATGGTCCACTGATAGATAATAGGCGCTACCCATTTAAAATGCATCATCACCATAACAGATAGGATGCCCTCCTCTCTCACCATTACTACCACCACACTGGGGCAGATAATAGGCTATCCGTTTCCTGCAGTGCTATCGCCTCGCTGCAGCCTTCCCTTTCCATTACCATAACACTTCGGTCATAATAAGCGGGGAGAGCCTTCCAGTCATGACCACAGCTCTCCGAGAGGAGGTCAGTCGTGTCGTCAGAGTGTTTTCTCACACGCTGGTAATTGGGAGAAATACGGCAGGAAGGCGAAGAAACGGCGGCGGAGCTTCGCTTTTTCTTTCTCGCCAGTTCTGCAGTGCAAGGCGGCGTTTCATTTTGAAGTTGTTGTTGTTGCCGTGATCCAGTAGCGCTGCCGAGCCACTTGCTGCTTTTCTTTTTAAAAAGCGAATTTGAAGAAACATTTGGGATACGGGAAACGGAGCCAGTTTTATTTCCTTCATTGAGTTTCAGGAAAGGGCTATTAATAGCGGGGTTTTCTCCTCGGGATAAGAAAAGCGGCCCCCATTTCTGCCTTCTTGTAATCCCCGTAGACATGAGAGGGAGGGATTTCATCAATAAAATCCCTCTTTATTCATTTAATCCGTTTCTTTTTGCGGGGGGTTCCACCATTTAGCTGGAGGGGTCTTGCGTAACGGCTATATTCTTCCCCCCAGGAAAAGCAGCAACCCGAAACCCCTCTCCCCCCCACGGTGGGGGGGGCGGGGGGGCCCATAGGGTAAGGTTTGGGGGGGTGGGGGGGGGGGGGGTTGCAGGCAATCCACTCATTATTCAGGAAGACACTCGAGGCCACAGGAAATAGCGCACTTCATTTTTCTTGTCAAATCCGGTTTAACTGCGTGTTCACAGCGAGCGGTGAGACAAAGGGCCGGGGCCAGAAACGTGGAGGGATTGACTGATGGAGGAGACGGAGGCCGTCATCTCGGGCCACCCAACACCTTCCTCCAAAAGGTAGACCGCCAGAGTCGCTGACGCCGCTGCATGCTGCAAATGAATACGTCTCATCTCCCAGAGAGCGAATGCACTGCGTTGGGCTCGCTCTCAAAGAGGAAAATGAAATATGGCCTCAATTATTCTCCAAGTGTAGAGAGGCACAGATGTTCCTATTGTTCCTCCCGCTGCACATCCTCCTAAACCTTCCCACATTATCGCCTTCATTACCGCCGCCATCAATACGGTAGGCGGCTGCCAGAAAACCTGGATGTGTCCACAACTCATCATCCCAACACCAATGAATCATCTGCCCGGCAATTAAACACCTTTCCGCCATACCATTCCATTCCTTTTGAGCACAGTGATGCTTTTTCCCCCCATTTCATTTCCACAAACTTCACATGACTGCTCTCTGCGTGGCCTGCAGCTCGCCGTGGCCTCAATCTCCTCCCGCTCCATATAGCCGCTGGACGGGAACCGTGTTGTGATCAGCAGGAGATGATGTGGCAGGTGTTTTCTTTTTTTGGTGGGGGGTTGGGGGGGGGGGGTGCCTGGTTCTCGTCGGAGCGATGGCTCATCCCGTTGCATCGCGACACCGCAGCATCAGACGGCCTCTTTTGTTTCGACTCCTAATTGGGGTAATTTATTGTCCTAACAGGCGGAGCAGCTGTGGCTTTACAGCGTAGAACCAATTAAATCCAGATGCCGGGATGAAGACGATGGCTGAACGTGACTCGGGGACCAATCGCTGGTATTAACTGCGGGGATGAATGTGACAAGCTGCGATGAGAGATTTCTTCCTGTCGCACCGTCGTCCGCCTGATGTCGAAGATCTGCATTTTGATGAGGATTCATGAAAACCGTCAGGACCAGATCTCAGGCAGACGTTGCTCATCATTTCAAGTAATGGATGCAACGATTTGCCAGATTAAACATTGAAGCTAAAAATCTGCCGGGACACCTTGACGGCCCCGTGCTAGCGGCTGCAATTAGGCCACAGGAACGCAAATGTTTCCCGACGGAGGATTAGGAGAATTTGAGCGGGAAGGTCTGGGGAATATGGGGAGCGGCGGGAAGAAATCAGGTCGCTCGCTGTGAAGATTTCTCCAGGGCCGCGCGCTAACCTGGCCATACTGCGCTTGGCCCCCGCCCGCCTCTTCGGGTCCGGGCTCTTTTAGACGAAGAGCCCCCGGGACGGACACCGATGTGAGTAACACGGCGGAGCGGAAGCGGAGCGAGGTCACCGCCGCGGAGCCGCAGCTCGCTGCAGGAAGCGGAGATACACGGCGACTCTTCGTGCCTGAGGAATTCAAAGGGGGAGTAATGAGGCCCTCTTCTTCTTCTTCTTTTGTTCATTTGTCTTCCGTGTGAAGTCTTAATGAAGTGGTTGTCCGCTCTGCCACTTTCTCCTCTAAATGGGTTGTGTTTGTAGATGTAATGCACACAGCCCGCGACAAGCTAAACATCTTAATGACTTATACAGTCTTGTATTTTTGCCCCGACCACAAATTGGCCCCTCTGAACCAACTGTGGGAGACTATTTCATTTGAATTCACTTAGTGGTGTTAATGTGGCGCAAGAGTAATCGCACACGAGCTTCTGAGAACTTCTTAGAACTAGAGAACATAAAAAAGGAAGCGCTAACGTAGCCTCGCCTGGGGAGGAAACAAGGTCGCAGTTCACGGACACGTCCGTCTCCGTCGTTCACGCCACGGCCCTTTTTTAATCCCATTACAACTGACTTCAAGCACAAAATACCTGCTTGCTGTGGCCCTGAAGACGCTCTGCTGACCCCCACCCCCCCCCCCCCCCCCCCCCCCCCCCCCGCATGAGATCAAAGACCCGTAAGTGGTCCGGGCGGATGGCAAGAAACCTCTGTGCTTCATGAAAACAAAGAGCTCTGACCCAATTAGCTCTCAGTGTTAAATATAACTCCACTGGCCTTCAATTAACACCCCCCCCCCACCCCTCCCCCTTGTGTTTTTACAGTATAAAGTGATTACAGATTTAATTAGTTGAGGACTTTGCTTCAGGGAGACGGCTTAATCCATATTGATATTTCAGCAGTTTGGAGATGGAGGCCTCGGCTCTGGAATGATAACTTGTGTGTGTGTGGTGGTGGTGGGGGGGGGGGGGGGGATTTGCAACTTTTCCCCGGCTCTTGTTTACTTTTTCCCCCTGAGGCTAATCACTCTGTTGCAGGATGATGCTGAGAATTATGCAGAGCGAGCATGGAGCCGATCAATGCTGAGCCGTGGATGTAAACAGGCCCGCTGTCAACAGCAGCTTTTCTGGGTTTGGCTTTTATTTTTTACTTTAATTCCATATTTGAAAAAAAACTAAACAAGACTGGACTGCAAGATAAATTAAGTCTCACGCAGCCCAGGACTGTAAGGCAACCTTTTCTTTAAAACGGTCAACTTTCATTAAAAGTCTGTGACGGAGAGCGCACTCATCAACGGCCAACAATCAGTCAATATTGATACGGTTCGTAAATATGGGCTGATTATAGCTGCCTGTGAAGTGAAGAATATGAAATGAGTGTCTAACCATGCAAACTATTTTCTCTGTCTGTCTGTTGTATCTTTGTAATCACATCTGGCTGGATGGATTTCTTTATTCTCTGACCACAAAGGCATCTGTTGGAAGGTTTGTCCTTCACCTCACTGAACCGCATGTCCATGTTCCCTCAAGTATTGTTATGTGTTGGCTTGCTGGAAAACCAATTTCCCCATGGGGACAAACATTTGAAAGTATTGAAGATCAACACTTTTCTGGACAGATATTTCATTTGTTCCATCATTTCTAGAAGCCTGGTTGAAGCAGCGTGCAGCAGTGATGTGCTTCTATTTAATAAACCTCCCAACAACTCGATCCTCTACGATAAATAATAATTGCACACTTCAAACCATAATTAACCATATGTTCTCTATAAGGTTCTATCCAAAGGAGAACACTTTATCAAGCGTTATCAATTCAAATATAAAAAACAGTGATAATATTTTTGGCAGTATTTGTCTAGACTAAGATGAGAACATGGACACACGAGCAGAAATCATCAGAAATTGATTCAAAAACTGTCGCTCTCCAGAGCCACCATCAAATCCACCTGTGACTGCACCAAATGTCAGCGAGGAGAATCCACCCTGGAGGAGACAGAGATCCCGGCACCAGATTATAATGCAGCCGCGGGGAACATTGCATTCTCAGTCAGACTCGCCACAACTCCCCCTTATGGTTGATGCCGTTACAATAACATTCTCTTAAACGCGGGATCCAGCTGGGTGCATTAAGCCCAGCTCAGTTCTCTGAGGGGCGTCGATCGGCATACTGAGAAATGTAGGAAGTCACGTTCAGCACCCTGAGATTCCATTCATTTCATATTTAGTGTTCCAAATATACCAGGATGAGAAGGATCTTAAATTACATATTAGCATGAATGCTGAAATGAAAGCTTTTCTGGTGGATGTGCAGTTTTTTTTCTTTCTGTTTGTTTTTTACTTATTCAACATCCCGTCCCCTTTGGTTTGACAATGGAGAAGAAGCAGCGTGCCGTGGGTTTTCCCCCCTTTCATCGTGACCGCGCTGAGCAGACAACACGGTGCCAAACCGGCAGATCGGAGGAGCTGCGAGGTAAAGCGCTGGAGCCAGGGAGGAGATGGAAATGAGGTGTCAGAGCGGCTCGTCAACCTCCCTGCACGTACCGTGAATATTTCACTACTGACACACAGCAGCTTGCACCCCCGGGACGGACAAAGAAACAGAGACAAATAGATGTTGTAGATGGATAGTTAGGGGGTGCTATAGAAAGACAGATAAGGAGATAGGTAGCTGGATAAATTGCCCCCGCTCTCGCGCCCCCCCCCCCCCCCCCACCCACTCTCTTCATCCCACGTGGACACCTGTCTCGGGCTTCATCTCGCGGCCCTGAATTTCGAGAGGCAGGTCTTGACAGGAGGAGCTCTCCACAGCCGACAGCGCTGCCTTCCAGCGCCGACGGGGGGCTGTCCGAGAACATCACAGCAGCATGTAGAGCCCGGCGCGGACCGACAGACGCTCGCCCAGACGCAGGAGATGTGATGAGAAGAGAGGGCGCCGGGCAGAGAGAGAGAGACTCTCCAGCCGCCGCTTGGCAACAGGCTAACGGCAACGTGCTAACGTTAAGCACTTAATGCGGCGACGACAGCCGGGTATGTTAGCTTTGCGGGTATTTCTTTTTGGAGCTTTGAGGTGATCGCGGCGCTAGATGATGCGTCAGCAGATCACCGTAATAACCACTCCTCTGGTAGTGGAGGTGAGCCGCAACAGCTGTACCAAATTTCACAGCGAGCCATTTAATAGTTATTGAGAAACCTTGTGGTTGCGCTGAAGGACAAGACGGGAGATCGACAGTAGCAATATTTCTGGAATTTCACGGGAATCCATCCAGCTGTAGAGATATTTCCGTCTAAAGTGGTGGACTGAAGAGAATACGATGGCATTCTTTGAGCCACGCATTCACCTGTTCAGACCGATGCTTGTGAAACATAGCTTGGTCACACCGTTATCCATGCCAGAAAAATAAGGTACCCATTTGAATTGGTCCAAATCTCCCATTCACACAAACAGACATAAATGACTAATATCTGAGGCACAACCCGCCTCTGCTCAGTGAATGAAACTGCTGATAATCACGCTCCGGTAATCGGGTACCTCCACCTCTCCGGGGAGAAGCAATCTCGACGCAAATGCTGTACCTGTTTCATCACTACAGGCAGCTTGTAGCAGCAACCCCCCCCCCCCCAAAAAAAAACACTGTGGAACATATTGCCTCGATCACTTATTATAAAACATTTTTGAAGAATAGTCGGGGAACACAGTGATTCCCTTTTTGGGAATGTGATCCTTACGATCCGTAAGGATCACATTCTCGCCTTCAAGCTCCACAGTCCTCTGGGAATTAAATTTTCCCCTTGGGGAACTTTATTTGTTTTAGTTTAAGACATACAACAGGCTTCCTTTTAAAAAGGTTCTGCACTGAGTGTTCTTTCCAACACCACATACGGGGGGGCATAAAAGTGCAACGCCACGCAGCAATAAATAGATGCTTTCACTTACGCCGGCTTCATGTTAAGTGCTACATGTTATGATCCAAAGATTGCCACGTTGCGCTGATCAATATGCCTGCATCGGGGGAGCTAAGGTTTACAGGGGCAGCGCCGGGCGGGGAACACTAAGGCGGTAAATCTGACCAGAAGCACTTACTTCCTTACGTGCGCATCCTATGGGCCATTAATGGTGGGTGTGCTCACACATCAAAGTGGCAGGGGTCTTATAGGCTAAAACAGAATAAGAAACAAAGGACCATTAAATCACAGTGAGAGACTCCACTGTGAGAAACATGCATGGACACACGCGCGCGCACTTAAACACTGCAGCGCGAGGGCTGTGCAGAGAGTTTAGGACCAGAGGAGGGAGATAGGGAGAAAAAGGGAGCACGACATTGATTTTCCCCCCCTCTCTGAAGTGCCAGTTCATCATTCTGTGAGACACACACCATCGATTCTCTGCCTTTAGTTTGTTTGTAATTTTGGGGGCTCAAAACTGTTCACAAAGATAGATCCTCTTATGTGCCACTAGCCTCCGAGATAACGGATGGAGGGATCAAAGGATGTGTGGAGATGGCCTCATTCTGCTAGGTGCTCCTTGACTGAGTCAGTTTTTCTGGCCCTGCTTCAATAAGAGAGCTTTGGCGTGGGCACCAGTGAGGGGAGGGGAGGTGGGGGGTCCCAGTCAACTGACCGTTTATCATTACACAGGTCTTTCCCCCTTTTGCACTATTTTAAACAGTACTAATTACTTCACAAGAGTACTGTGTTGAATGGATGGTACATTTTATATTATATATAGATTAAGGAGATTTTCACAGAGAAAACCCTGTTGTTTTGGCTTCAATTGGAGAAAGGGGACATTTGGTGAATTTGTCCTAAAGATAAATGATGTTCTGTGAGATCACAGGGACCTTTTGAACAGCAAATTGCAATCAGTTAATCCTTAAATAAATTCTTTAAATATATTTAACTCACTCAAACACTACTTATTTTTTATGTATTGATTTTTGTATTTCAAAAGTCAAACATGTACTTTTGGCAAACCGACAAATCTGTGTAAGAACATTTAATTGTTTGCAAAGCTCAAGTCAAGGCATTTTCTGCAGAGCTGCATCCTTAATCATTCAACCAGTTTTTTTCATCAGACATGATGATGATAAAAACGTATGGAAACTAAGTCATACAGCAATAAAAATATACTTTGACTAAGGTATAACTAAAATGGCAACGATAACCAAAAAAAGCAGGACGAGGTTGACTTGGTCGGACAAAAAGTTAAACTAAATAAAAGATAAGGAAAGTACCCACCTACTAACGTCCAATTATTGTTTTCAAACTTCAAGCAAGTACCTCCTGCAGACATTTGGAGTTGAAGGCAATGCGCCAAGTTGCCAAAAGTAGTTTTAACACAAAACCTCTAATGCCTAAAAAACAAATTGGGCTTTTTCAAGCACATGATCGCCGTGTAGTGCCTGCGAAATCTCAACAAGCTGTGAAGGATGAACTATGAAGAATTCAGAAAACAGCTTCTTCTGCTACAGCCTGGACCTCTAGTCAAAACCTTTGTACGGTTTTATAACCTGGGTGTGTTTTTTGTTCTTATGATTTTATTTATTTACACAAATCCCATTCCCCATTTCCCCATTGTTAGAAAGACTTGACTTCCTGGTTGATATCTACGGAAGCAATGTCATTTAAAAAAAATAGTCTTAAGTTTCTTTAGTTGTGGCTTCAATGGGACAAATACTTCTCTCCTGCAGCAACATATTTCAACGCAAACGTTGCGTTGGTTCCTCGCAGCCCGTTTCCCACTTCCACAGCTTGCAGGAAGATTCTCAACCGGAGAGCCTTAACATCTCATCTGCACTTCATCAACCCTCCCCCTCGCCCACCTCCTCCACCCGTCCTCGAGACTGAACATTCACGGGAAGATATCACCTCAGAACGCCTTTAGAGGTGCCGAGAGAAAACACGAAGGTCATCCCACCACACCATCCAGGAAAACATCCCATAAACCACAGTTCAATGAACTAAAAAACAAACACCCACTCTCGCAAGAAAAGGTCCCGATGTCTGAAGAGCTCGGGAAGAAAAACATTGTTTTCACATTTGTATCGTTCTCTCTTTTGCTCACATTTACAATCAAGTTGAATTTCGGGTGTGATTCTTGTAATCAATTTCTTATCAGCACGCCAACCCATTTCCATCTCTCAGCCACTTCCATCAGGATGGAATTACTTTGATTGTTACATGACCAAAACTCATGTCAAAGTCAAGTCAAATTAAGTTCAATCATTTCTATAAAGCACTGTCACAAATCAGCAAAGGAGAGCGGTAGCTGTCGGCTCGCTAACGGTTCTGTCAGACATAACACACACATTAGCTCTCTGCTATTAGCTAATAAAACAGACAACATGCCAAATGTCATGATTGTTAGTTACTGTATCACTGTTACCATCTTGTGTATGAATCCTCTTAGCCTATTGAGACTGCGATGGTCCTAAAGAGTCCAAAAGAGTAGAGTATTTAGAATCCATTGTCCCCATATCAAGGGCACAACACTCCACTTTGCTGAACTTGAGGAAATACAATTTCAATCATTTATGACTTCTTTTAGATGGTCAAGACATACATGAAACAGCCACAATGCAAGAAAAACTATTCAAAACTCGAAAGAAACCCATCTGTATCACTGAGCTTTTTTAAGCCATAGTGGTTGACAACCTGTCACCAAGCACCACAGCAGCTGATTTCATCCTGATCTGCACACACTCAACTAGAGTTGGGTGACTAATCAATCATGGTGCGTAGTGATTGGTTGCAACATAAGCCTGCGGATTCTGGGGATTTAGTGGCACACGTTCGAGAGCTGCTGTGTAAACCGAAGAAAACAAATCCATCTGGTGGAATCTTCTCTTAGTTCTGTTCTGGGATTCTGATCTGGATGAGGCATTAGAGGTTAAGATTGAGTCAACGTATCGTAACATACCTAAAGCTGCAGTTTCAAATCAACACGTGCGCCCAAAGTAGGGGGAAAAAAACCCAACTGGAAAATGGTCTCATCAGAAGATTCAAATCGTACCAACACAAAGGCAAAGTGCCCTGAGGTACCACGTGGACATTGAGGCAAATGGTTGTGACAGTGTCACTGCTCAGCATGAATCTCCGTCCTCAGCAGTGGAATGAGGGACATCCTCACCACCTGTGAACCGAGTGCCGTACTCGCTGTCTTCAGCCAGTTTATCTTGGGTACTTCTTCATTTCCGCACACCCGGGGTTTTTAAAATGTCATTTATGTCTAATGGCTGTGCTCATTAGCTGCGTCTGAAAAACACACTGTGGTCATTACCGGCGGCATCTGCATGCAGCCCTCATGCCGAATTCTCTTGTTTGAGTCATCCGTCACAGACCCAGTTCTTTGGCAGTTGGCACCAGAAATGGCCGCGAAGCTAAAATCTTCTAATTATCTGCAGCTATCTCTATCTGCTTACATTGCGAGTGAATGCGTTTTGACTGGGCTGCTTTATCAGTGCAGCGAGAAACCAAATCTGAAACAACATCCATCATGTCGAGGCTGCCAAAGCCACTTGGGGAACTCCACGGGCTGCAGCGCGCTAAGAATTGTACTTTACCTTGGTGCGATCCTCTTGTGTACGGGCAAAGTGGGAGAAGGGAGGGTTGTGCATGACTGGGACTGCGTTTGAGACAATAGCACTCAAGTCTCTTTCATTATTCACTTGTACGACTGTCAGATATGGACAGTTGTTACAAGAAAAGCTTGGTATCCTCGGGGAAAATGTCCAAAGACACCCCTTCAGAGTCAAGCAGATCAAGAGTTCATTCAAGATGCAAGAGATCCCATTTCTTCACTGTCAAGTCTACTTGGAACACAAGCACAGCTTGCTGGTTCCGGCATAATACCGCAAAACAAATAACTGCTTTGGAAACCAAAGCACTACACTTTTTCTTTTTTTTGTTGGATTTTGCATAGTACTTTAGAGGAGCTTCGGGTGGGTGTACAACCGCCTGTCCAAGTAAGAAATAGAGGGAGCGAGTGGGTGGTGGAGCATGCCGGCTATTCTTTGTCAACTGTTCAGTGCCATTTAATGGCCTGTAAACCCCTTTGCTTGAGAAAGAACACGCAATTAGCATACTGAGTGGATTACAAGATTGCTCTCACTCCTGGATTAATGTGTGCACTTAATCTTTTCTTTGCTAAGCGATTCTTGGATATACCGCCATTCAAGGGAAACAAATGTCCCCACCTTCCAAAACACAACACGAAAAAGGATTTCTTCCATGGTGACATCAAACGCAGTCACCGACTGCCTATCAGGACCATCATTTAATAAACGTACAGCCTGCTTTATTGAAGAACACAGGAAACTAGCAATTGAGACCATAAACTCATGTTCACGCCGTCTACACAGGGGTCATCCCTCAGATATTTCTTCCATTAGAGGGCTCAGCCCTCGATGGCCATTGGAATGAATACAATTTAAAGGCGCCAAGCTTCCCTTTTCAAAACGAGAGATTACCACCAAAATGATAGCTCTTTATTAAACATAATTCAGTAAGAAAAAAAAGAACAGAATAAATAAAAAAACATAGCAAATGCTCCATCCACATCCTTCGAAGCTGTAATTTAGTGTCCTTGAACATTAATATCGAAACATTTGCAGTCCCTGCCGCACAGTTCACCATCTCCTTGATTGCTCTCCTCTGCCTATCAGTACTCTATGATAAACTTGGGGTTGCACTCCATATCTCCAGGAAGTCGGGCTCCATCTGTTATCGGCCCTGAATCACGACACCTATTCGCTAGCATTGATATGATCTTTAATCTACGACTCCTCATCTAACCCCCGCATCGTTCACCCAGGGTGTCAGCCCACAAATGAAAAGTGCTGATAGCTTTGCACTACTATTGCTCAGTACCGAGACAGGGTGTTCTTAAAACGGCAACCTCAGCTCCATTTGGTCCACATGCAAACACAAAGCCCTCTGTGGCAGATGAAAGAACGTCAGAACCACGCATCTATCCATTTGCATCAGATATTCACTGGAAAATACTTTTTCCCGCTTCCAAATACCCACGCTTACTTCTGATATCTTGCAGGTGGCACCATATGCCAAGGAACCATCATGCTGTAAACAAACTCAAAGTCAAAAAAAGCTTAGGACAGCTTGTTTACTTACGCAGAATTCTTTGTGAAAATGCATCGCTC